AAGGTGCTCGGGGGTAGGTGACGGGCCCAGCCCCACGTGCCTGTTTGTAAAACCCCCAGAAAATCCCTGCTGGCACGGGGCAGGGCAGTGTGTGACACCTTGGTGTGTGTGCACGTGTTCTCAGCTGACTTCTGAGGTTTCCCCGGGCTCCCCACGACTTAAATCCTCCACCCTGTGCTGAATCYGCACCCATTTCAACCATGGTGCTCACTGCCACCCCTGTGGTGGTCAGAAAAATAAAAAGATATGCAGAAAGAGAGATGAAGTTGGTTGGGAGGTAGGTGGTGATGCTGCTGGAGGACCAGCCTGGACCCTTACCAGCCCCTGTGCCAAGCTCTGTCTGTCTCTCTGGCAGCACCCATTTTTTCTTAAGTCTGGAGCAGCTCYACACTGCTTTAAGGCTGCTAAAAATGAGGCATGTGGTGGGTGTTTTGGRTGATCTGCTTGTACACCTCTCTGTGTTCACTCTTTGTTAGCATCTGCAGCTCTGGTTTTTGGCTGATCCCTACAATTGTTTGGCTGTGAGCATCGTCCTTGAGTGTCAGGTGAGCACCAGGTGCCAGAGGATGGCTGGTGCCAGCCAGGGCTGGGGTTGTCCTCAGCCCAGGATTCCTTCAGGGCTCCTCTTGTGCTCTGCTTTCCTACCCAAGAGCAGCTTTTTGCAGGTATTAATTACACCTGTCCCTGCCTGGTTTCTTGAAGAGTGGTGAGAGTGAAGCGTGGGCTGGAGGAGGTGTCTCCAGAAATAACCAAGCAGAAATTGTGGGTGAATTTACAATTCTTACCAACCTTGTGTGTGCTATGTTAAGGTGCTGGAAAACCACTCAGCTTTTCCTYCAGCAGCTCCTCTGTAGGTGTGATTTCTTTGTGTACATTCCAGGTACCTGCAAAGAGTTCAGCCTTAATTTTGGATCCACAAAGAGTTTTGTGTTTGGTAACTGTGGGTTTCCCCACGGGGCTTTACAGCCTCAGCTCCGTGGGGGAAACGCTGTGTAACCATCCCAGGGACAGGAGCCAGGGTGTTTTCCTTAATTTCAAACAGGTTTGATGTTTCACACATCTTCCAGCTCCTCTCCACGTGTCACCTGCAGAGAGAGCACTGCTCCTTTCCCCAGAACACGGATGTGAGGCTGGCYCTTCCGAGAGAAAGGGGATTCTTATAACTGGTTATCTTTATTCAAATGGAAATGGTTCTTGGAAGCCCTGAATATGCCCCAAGAGAGCTGCACTGAGTCACTGTGAGCTCTCGAGCCAGGATGTGAGCCGGATGCGTCGGGACCAGCCCGTCTGTGGAGACCTCTGGCTTCCTGGGATGGAGAGGCAGCTCTTTAATCTGCCTTTACTAGGAAAAGCCTGCGACTCTCGCTTCCCTGAACACTGGAAAAAAGTGTAGTGTGATGGGTGGATATGAGAGAGTGACAGAAGGAAGGGGAAGAAAATCARTCCCACCCAGAGGAGCAGCTGTGCYCTTCCTGCYGGGGCCAYGTGGGACCACGGTGGTGAAACACCACAAATCAAACCTGCCATGTGGGTACTGGGCAAATCCACCCCAAACCAGGTGTTTTCCCCATAGAAATTTGGTACAGCCTTTGATAAGATTCTGTGGAGAGGAGACAGTGCAGGGTGCTGGTGCTCCAGCCTTTAAATGGGGGGGATTTTTTAAGCTTWGCAGCAGGGAGTGTGAGGGAGCAAAGGAGAGAGAAGTGTTTGTAGGTRATTTCTGCTAGACCAGCTGGACATGGGAATTGTTCTGGGAATGTGGATGTAATTTGTCCTCTGGGGCAGAGGAGCAGCAGTGGCAGAGCAGGAGGTACATAGTGCAGGCCATAAGGATGATGTGGTTAATGCCAGGAACAGAGGATGCAGGTCCAGCTTGTTGGGGCTGAGCTTTCCTGCGTGGTTCCCTGTAGCAGAGAAGGGACCAGGTGAGAGAGGCAGGGAGAAGGGATGACACTGAATATGCACCAAAAAGAGCAAAAATTTGGTTTGGCACAGCAGGAAATGTAGGGAATTGTACTGCAGCACTTGCCTGCTGCTTTCTGTAAGCTGCTGGATCAGCACCCTGCTCCCRGGGAAATAATCCAAAGTGTTCTCGCTCCTGCACCCCAGAGATGTGGTGCTGGGTCAGTGCTGGGGGTCAGAAGTTTTTCTGTGAAGTTGCACAGGTTTTGTCCACCCCAGCTGTGGTGGTCTCTTGTTTTTGCCCCTCTCCCAGAGCAGGCAGCAGTGAACATGAAGGGCCTTTTTTTTTCCCTCCATAAATTTCATTTTCCTAGCAGGTGCCTGCTCTGTCTTACATCATTTTCAGAGGTGACATCACTCTATCCCAGCCCAAAGCAAATTGGAGGGAGGAGGGTATAAATCTATTTTTCCTCTTTTATTTTTTTTTAAGAAGGAGAGAGGAGAATACTTTGCTCTCTTGATAAGTTTACAAGGTTTTGGGGACACCTGAAAGTACTTGAATGATGCCAGTTTGGAWAGAAAAAGCATCTATTGATGCTGGAGTTGAGTTACTGCTGACAATTACAAAGTCAAACTACTCCCTTTCCCACTGTGCCTCCTGTCAAGCTGATCTATTCCAAGGACAGTTTGAGTTTTCTCTCCCATCAGGAAACTGTCACTAGCTGGCCACATCAATTCCAATTTTATTTTTTCATGGCATTGCCTGTGGAGTGAAAAATCAAAGAAAGGAGTGATGCTGGTACCTGCTGGCAAGGAGATGGGCACAGGTGATGATGCTTCTGCCTCTTCCTTTTTTTTTTCTAGCATGCTCTTTGCTCTTCTCTAAGAATTGTCTCTTTTGCCTTCTCCTGACAATCCCAGGGCTGGGATTCCTTCCAGACCTTTGTCTCATGCTGAAGCTGAGCTTTGAAGAGGTACAGCCTCACCTGCTCCTTTTTTGGGGGGGAAAATCCAGTTGGAGCAATGGATGCAAAGGAGGCATTGTCCATCCAGAGGATGYTCTGCTGCACCCCAGCTCAGTGCCTGCTCCAAATAGGTGCCCCTGTGACTGTCACCACCTTTGCACGGGGGTTTTGAACAAGCTCTGGTGCAAAACACCACAACCCTGGRCATGTACATAATGTGTCCTGTAATGTCACCATGTGAGTGTCAGCCAGATGGGACTTTTCAGCTTCCTGAGGAGCGCCTGGCCTCTGGCCATGTGTAGTTTCTCAGAGTGGGGCCCGTGTGGCTCCATTGTCACGGGGCTGGGTGAGAGCAGGCTGACACATGGAGACCAAATCAAACGTTTTTTTCCAGCCCTGGAGGTTGTGCAGGTAACCTAAAAATACAACTGGAATGTGGCTGGGCGGTGACATCCTCCCGGGGCTGCTGGCACAACCTCGGTGTTATCTGGCCGGCACACGGAGCTCGGGTGTGGCTGTGAGCCCCACAGGTGGCCGTGCCAGTGCCTCTGGTTGTCAGAGACTTTGGCTAAAATGCCCATCCCCAAATTCTTCTCATCTGAGGGGATGAGAAAGATAACCCTGTTCGCTTTCCAGCTGGGTTGGGTTCAAAGGCTSTGTTTCAAAACAGAGTTTCCAGGCTGTGTGTCCCGTGCATGGCTCAGGCACGTGGGGCTTTCCTGTGGGATGTGTGGAAAAGCGAGTTCATCCTGGACTTGGGGCAGTCTTGGTTGAAGCCTTGACCCTGGAAGCTGCTGCCATTCCTGGTTGGATGGAGAGGTGTGATGGGCACTGGGCAGTGTGGTGCTGGGATGGTGCAGCCAGCTGGTGCATGGGCTTTTTTCTGCTCGGAGGGAATGAAGTATTCCATGAAAATCACCCCTGTCCCGTGGTTAGGCAGGAGCTCTTCTTGCAGGGCAGGTGAAGTCATTAATACTGTACTCTATCCCAAACAAAGCTCCTTTCCAACCCCAAATGGGACACTTCTGCTGCTCATGRCAAAGCAGCTCGTCCCCATCCCGGTCTCTGGTGTGATGGTGACCCAGCCTTAACTGAAGTGGCCTCGGGAGGGGCYGTGTATCCACAGGGAAAGGGTGGGGAGAGGGGCCCGGCATTGGCAGGGCACTGTTTGAGCTCATTGCTGTTTTTGAGGGTGTGCTCTTCCCCTTATTCAAGCCAGCCCCCTGGCAGGAGGCTGCTGGGAGGGAGGGATGAGAGCCGTCCTTGTCCCTGGTGCTGCCCTGGTGTACCTGACCCTGTGTGAGTGCCTGAATTCTCCCCAAGATTTGCTCTCCCAGCATCTCTCACCCATTCTGGGGTGACATCCCTCATGGGGAAGCTTTGTTAACATCAGTGRAACACCTGATGCCTTTTGTTCCTCTGGGATTACTTGTGGCCCTATAAAAGATTGGATAATTAATGGTGCACACCTTTCCAGGCCTGGCTGTTCCTACTGCACCAGCAGACTTTTGAAAGAGCTGCCAATGGTGATACTTGAAAGGATGGCTGGGTTTGTTTTTGTTTCGTCTCTCTTTTTTTTTTTTTTTTTTCTTGTTTGTTTATTTTTTAAGATGCTTTTGAGATGTCGGGAAGCTCTGCTTCACACCACCCCTGGTCCTCGGGCACCGAAACCCAAGGGGACTGATTCAAAGGAAATCTTCTTTCCCGCCCCACCTGCTGGGTTAGGGACTTTCTGCACCAAAGGATCCCTGACTCTGTGGGTGTCTCTGGAGATCCTTGGAGTGTCTGTGCTGTCTCAGAGGGAATTAGCTGTTAATAGAGTTAGTGATGGGAGGGCAGCACAGCAYTTCTATCCCCAGGAGTGCCAGGGACGGGTGCTGGTGGCTCTCAGTGCTATCTGCAAGAGCAGCTCCTGCGTCAGCATCCTTTATGTGCTGATGATCTGTGCCTGAAACTATACCCTGGGAGTGGAAATGAGCCTGAGAAAATACCTTCCGCAGTCCTTCTGGGGCTTACATAAACACTATTTAAAATTAGAGCCACTCATTATGTTGGTATGTGCGTTTACCTCGACCTCTGACTTTTCWGCCTGCAAATGTGCCTGGTCCAGCACAGCCTGGAGCTGGGAGGGAGCTCAGGAGCAAAGCAGCGGTAGATTTTCTATAATTAGTTTAAGGTAAAGAAGCTGGTACAGTATCTCCCCTCCAGGCTGACAGGGAAATCGAAAACAAAACTGCAGCCTGTCAGAGCTGAGCCTGGCTTTGATCAGGAACATCAGCGTTGGCTTCTGCTGGAGTGGTTTTGAGGGAAAGGGGAAGAGCAGCAATACTCAGCCACGGCTATTCTGCTATTCTTGCACGTGCTTGCAGAGARATGAATGCTTTTATTTTCCCACTTTCCCATGCTATTTCCCAGCCAAATCCGTGCAGCAATTTRTATTTTGCCACCAGAGATGCCGTCTCGGTTGTCACCCTGGAATAGCTGCCAAGCTCCCTGCTGGCATTGTCATGGAACAATATTTCTACTATTTGTTGTGGTAATAGTTGTTAGTGGCAAAGCAATTAACSTGTCACCTGCAGCACGACCAAACGTGACCTCTTTCCATCCCAGCACCATTTTGGTGCCCAAACCAGTGAACCTGGGCTCTCCTTGGTTCTGCTGCTTTGGTGCCAGGGATGTACCGGAGCAGGGGTCACTCCGGTGGGATGCCTGGGCTTGTGGGCAGCCTTGGAAGGGTTGAATTTGTGGGAAGAGAAGGCATCCTGCTGGGATGCACTGTGGCAATCCAGCGCTTCAGCAGCTCCGGGAGCTGGAGTTGGCTCCCCACCAGTTTCCTGTTGACGTCACCTGCTATTTCTCTGCTGCAGTTTTTACAACTGTTGAGCTTTCAAGGGTAATCGGAGCCCAGTCCGGCCAACCTCGGCAGCTGCCGATGAGGGAACGCRGCTCTGCCTTCCCCAATTCCCCCCGCTCGCCTTCGCTGCTGTCCCCAGCCTTGGGGACCCCTGGCATCTGGGGAAATCACGCAAGAAGGGCTCTGTGAAGCGGGCGGGTGCTTCGGGCCATGCATTCCCTCTGAAAAGAATCATCGGTGCTTGCAAGAAGTGCCGTGCGCTGGATCCTGCGGGAATTTTTCCCCTCCCTCCTCCAGTCCGCCCCCATCCCTCTCTTCTGCCAGGCGTGCGGGCGCTGCTCTTCATTTCTGGGAAACCATGGACAAGAAGCAAGGTAGATGTTGCAATTTGCAAAACACGTGCTGGGGGAGAGCAAAGGGCTGATTTTGCTGCTAAAAGGGTCTGTGTAACTTTTTTGGGCTGATCCACTCGGTTTTGTTTCTCCTGGCTTGGGCGTGGGTTCTCTCTTTGCAGCTGGGGATCTATTTTTAAAGCGCTGGAAAAGTTGCATGTTTCGTGCAGGGTTAAAACTCTTAATCGTTGTCTTAATTGCAAAAAAAAAAAAAAATCAAATCTAGCATGTCTGAAGAAAAATATGCAGAGGGTGAAGCTGGCTTCTGGCTCTGCTTTGAGTTGCATTCCTGGGACGCAGGGTTTTCCAGCAGCTYTCCCTGCCTGTTGCATGGGAAAGGTGGGTGCCCACAGCCCCAGCAGTCAGGAGCTCTGATTCAGCACAGGCTGGCAGGCTGTTTTGGGGCTGCAAGGGGCTTTTTGTGCAGTGTGGTTTTTTCCTGCTGCTGGCTGGCRGTTTTGCAGAAGTGAGGAGCGCGCTGATCTGCAGGAGCCCCTCTGCAGCGGGACCTCGGCGGGCTGATGAGTGATGGCTCTCGGCAGGTTGAGAGCCCTTTTTCCGCTTCCATGGATAGCTTTTTCCACTCCCAACAGTGGAAAACAGCACAAAGTGTGCCTGTGAGGAGCTGGCTCTCGTGACCAAGCACCCAAATTCCCCTCTCTGCTCTGCACCCTGCCTCCAGTTTATTTCTTTCTTTTTTTTTTTTGTTTTTCCTTGATGCTTCTTTGTTCCAGCTCTTTCTCTGCAGCAGGGCTGGGATCCACCCTCCAGCCTTCTGCCCTATCCATGGCATTTGACTCCTCCTCGGACCGAGGAGAACCRGGATGCATCCAAAACATTTCCCCCAGCACTAACGAAGCTGTGCAGCTCTCAGAGCAGCCTCCTGTGCCCAGGACTTCACCTGGGGCTGCAACCATAGCCCAGGGAAGGCAGTGGAGAGGTTTAATTTCAAAGGTCGACTCAGGCAAATAGTTTTATTTGCAGTTCTTTAGATTGTCCTGTTCGTTTCTCTCCGCCCACACCAGTGGAGTGGGAAGGAAAAACCTCTCGCGGAGAAGTGCAACTTAATAGGGTGAAGTTGGTGGTGGCAAAAAYGAGGATTCCGGTGTTGAATTAGGCAGTTCCAGGAAATATCTGGTGGTTCTTAACTGGTGGTGGTTATAGCATGAGAAAAAAAAAAAAAAAACAACTTGTTGGGGTTTCTTCTTTTTGTCTTTAGGAGGAAATGGTTCCTTTCTTAGCATAAAGGATGCAGTTACGTGCTTGCAGCATCACGTGGGTTGCAATTTCATCCGCACCAGGAACTTCTGTCAGCTAATTTTCTCCTGCCTGGGTGCAGGGCACTGTGCCGTGTGTGTCCACGGCTGGCAGCCCCTTCCTGTGCCCAGAACAGTGCCCTGGCAGCAGATCCCTGCAGCTCGCAGGGATAACCAGGACACGTCCCCAAACCGCCTTGTCCTCCTGCTGCCTTTTGGCCTTTGTGGAGGGATCTTTTGGGGGTGCTTGTGCTTGCAGATGCTGTGTTCTAGGCTTGCAGATACCCCTCTTGCAAGAGCCCAGTGCCCTGCGAAGCTGGAGCGTTTCCAGGGTTTTCAGGTGACAGGAGCAGTTGTGCACATTCTAGCAATTCCTCCTGCYGGGATCCCAAAAGTGGGAGGGATTGTGCTGAGTCTCAAGGGTAGGAGAGGCAGTGCCAGGGACTCTCCAGTGGGAAGGAGATGACAGCAGCTGCCTGCGGGGGCTGAAGGCRAATGCTGCCCTGTGACTGAAGTGCTTGAATTGCAGGGTCATCCCACTGCCTTTCTGTTTCTCTCATTTTTCCCTTTTTTTTATTCCCTTCCTTAGTTTTTTCCTGCACTCTCATTCACATTGAGCAGGGCTCTYCTTGGTGCCACAAGCAGTGGGAGAAGCTCTCAGCAAGGAGTTCAGGCCAGCCTTCAGGAGCTGGAAATCTTATGGCAAATTTTAGGAGAGCTGTAACCAACGAATTCAACCTGTGCCTCAGCTCCCTGGCTGCAGGGCAGAATCCTGGGTGATTTTATTCTTGCAGCCATGGGCTGAGCTGGGTTTTCTACCCCACATTGGTGGCCCAGGGAGAGCCTGACAGTGTAATACCTCTGGTTTAATCGGTGCTTTTTCAGGTTGGAGCTAGGAAATGCATTTTGGGGCTAGGCAGGACAGGCCAGGGAGGGGATGGTTGCTGACTCTGACACTGGAAGTCAAGGGCGATAGTTTGGGAGTACAGGGAAGTGTGCAGGGTGCCTGTGACAGGAGAGTTCATRGACAGTGCACATTAAGTGACTCTCCTGTATGGAGCAGGGAGTTGTGGACAGGGAGTCTCTGTGTCCCTTGCTGCCCTGTTATCCTCATGGGATATCATGGGAATCTCCCTGTGATTCCCAACCCCTGGAAGCTGGTGCTTCCAGCTCCCTCCAGCCTCTGTCCTGGAGCCAGGGCTGAGGAATGGCTGAGGCCATGGTGCAGGAGGCCTGGCTCAGGATCCTGTGCACCCTGCTCCTGCCCCATGAGTCATGGCCTCGGTGCCAGGGGAGCCTCTGGTGGCACAGAAGGCGCTTTGTGCCGGCTCTGCGGGGTTACTATGGCAATTGGGGAGAGGGAGAGCAAACAGATGGAGCAGAATCCCAGCCAGGATGGGGGGATTTCAGGGCTTCGTGGAGAGGTCTGGCTGGTGCCTGCTGGGGGTCTGCATGCAGAACAAAGAGCAGTCTGGGTTTTGGAGCAGGTTCTGGGCTGAAATGGTCGGTACAAGGCTCCCCTGGGATGGAGTGGGATGGGRTGTGTGCCCACAGCGAGCTCTGCAGCATGCCTGAGTGCAGAAGGGCTCAGGGGACCCCAGTTTCTAGGTTGTATCCCTGGCCTCCCACACTGAGTAGCGAGAGGCTGGGAGTGGGAAGGGCAGGCATTTCTGAACCCACGGACAACAGCTTTCCTTTGGCTGTTTTGTGTTTGCTCCCATCGTTACCCAACTGGGTATTTTGCAAAGTGCCATCAGTGGATGTCTGGGGCTATTCATAGTGCCCCTTCCAGCCCTGCTGGGTGGGCGATGGGGAAGGGAAACTCAGCAGGCTCACAAATTAGAACTTGTGATTGCTCTGRCATGGTCTGGTGGTTCCCATCCAGGCGGGATTGGTTTGGGGTGGAGTGTCTCGTTGGCTGGTTTCACTGGGCTGGAAGTTCACATCGTGGGAGCTGTGCTGGTCTTGGAGCTTATGGGTCAGCTCTGATGCAGGAAAAGTGGCAGATGAGATGGGGGGATGGACTGATCTGTGCTGATTCCCTCAGCAGGGAGGGATGSTGCTGGTCCTGCAGCTGGGACCTTTGCAGGATGCAGCTTTAACCTGCAGCCTCGGTGAGGTTTGCAYTTGGGGAAGGACACGGCAGRAAAAGTGCRTTCCAGGCACCTGTTTTGTCTTGSAGCTGGCAGGGCACAGGGATGGGGGCTGTCAGTGCTGGGGACACRTTGGACATGTGTCACCCTTCTGTCCTGCTGCAGCTGCAGGAGCTTYCACACGGCGCTGCCTCTCTTGCTGAAATTCCAGCTCCTCGCCTCTCCCCTCCCTGCCCTGGCAGCCTTTGGAGCGCTGGACTTTGTCCACACTCCTGCTCCTGGCAGCCAGGCAGGTAGGAGCTGTTTTGAAAGGCTGTCCAAGGCCACGCTGAGCAGTCTGCTCCCAGCCCGTGCCTGGAGCACACCTTGATATTCTGCCTTTCCAATGCATCTTCCAGCTCTGTGCAGCCAGGAGCACCTTTAGCTGCAAAGTGCAGCTGCCCCCTTGTCTCTCATGGGGGTTCAGGACCTCAGTGCTCTCAGCTGCAGCACTTCAGCCCCTTGGAGTCAGTTTATTTTCCCAAGGAGCTGGGATGGTATTTTTACCTGCAGGTTTCTGGCCTGTCCTGAGTCCCCTTTCCCTCTGCAGCGGTGGGTATTGTTTTATCAGGGCTGTTTGGAGTTGGGAGGAGGGGGACAAGAGCATTCTTTTGCCAGTAACTCCTGGTGCCTTGTGCCTGTGCAAACCCAGATTTGTGATGGGTTYACTGCTGGCTGACAGCTCAAATCCATTTTTTCCCTGTTTTCCATTTGTCGTGCATGGGGTGTTCCCTCTCCTGCTGGGATTAACCCCTTGGTTTTGCTGGATGTCTGGTGGTCATTCCCCTCCATGCCAGATCCAACTCTGKCTCTTCCCAGGATGGCCAGGCTGGGGCCAGGGCCCTGGGGGTCAAGGAGCCCCTGGACAGGGAGCATTTTTGGGAGCCCTGCACATCGCTAATGCCGTGGGGACCTCTTGTGGCTGGAGAAACGGGGATGGGGCCAGGCTTGGCTGCAYTCCCACAGCCCAGCTGCCTCCCTCTCCCCGAGCTCTCCTGGGTCTGTGAGCCATGAGGGATGCAGGGCTGCTGTCTGGTTTGGCTGGAGCATGAGGGCTGAGCTGGTGTYTCCTTTCTCTCTTTCAGATTCCAAAGGATCCTTGGAGCCACACAAACCAGGTAAGTGCCCAGCAGAAACYACAGCTTTAACCCCAGAAGGGGTTTAAATCCCAAAAGGAGGGGATTGCTAATGGCCAAGAAGGGTGAAGAGCAGTTTTGGGGTTCTTGGCTGCAATACCTGGAAAATAGTCTCTGTTAGGACACCCCTGGGTATTTCTGCAGAGAAATGCTCAGCAGTGCCACTGAGACCCACCGGTCTCTTGCCTGAAATTTTGGGCAAGTGGTCACTGTGACCTTTTTGGCATTTTGCTGACYATGGTGAGGGCTCCAACCCCTGCATTCTCTGCTGGGAAGAGGATACTTGAAGGAAAAAAGCAAAAAGCCACGTGCTCATGTGTGCATTTCTCTTCCAGTGAAAGGCAAGAAGAAACGGGATCTGAGGATAACATGTGTCCCCATCAAACCACCCGTCGCCAACACAACGTAAGTATCTCTGCTGCTTTAAAAGGTTCTCCAGAGATGGATTTGGCACTTTCTCAGCARGAATGGCCTGTGAAGGCTTCCCAAAATCAGCATAGTTATTCTTTCCTCTCAAGCTCTGGCTYGTGGGTGATGAGAGGGAATTGCACATGTGTGTGCAGACACGTGCACAGCGTGTGTCTCTCGGGGAGGTGCCTGTTTGATTWGAAATGTCCTAAAGGCAAAGACTCAGAATCCTCCGGGAAGCTCTCCTCAATCTTTCTGCCATGGCTGTGCCAATGCCGAAGGGCAAAGATGGGGCAGGGAGAGCAAATCTGCCCAAGGGAGGAAGAGGGGAAGGATTTTAGTGCAGGGAAAGAGAAGAGGTGATGGTAGCTGGACCACRACAGAAGCCAAAAGGTTGGGCAGCGCTTTACATGACCTGAGTATCTGCATTAGTTTGAGTTGTTTGCAGCTCCTTAACAAGGAGGGCACAAACATCTTGCACTGTTGTGTTGTTCGGTGCCGGGGCCAGTGCCCAGCAGTGTCTCAGGGCACTGGAATTTCTCCCTGCCCTGTTTGCTCTGAGCTGCTGGTGCTTGTTATGCTGTGGGGGAGAGCCCAGGGTAGCAGTGCTTGGTTTGACAAAGAGCAGATGGCTAAAATTCCTCTTCYGTGCTGCTATTCCAAAACCTTTCGGGCTGCATCGCCACTGCTCGCCTTCTTTGCTCCAGAAACCTCTTCTAGGGAACTCTCCCAGCTCCAGGAGAGCAGTGAATTCCCCAAAAGGGAAATATCGCTGCTGCAAACCCCAGGTAGGAAGGGGAGGCGGGGGAACTCCCCCACTTATGCCGTGCAGCCTTGCACAGCTGAGCCCTGCTGTGACAGGCACCTCCTTTCCCCAYGGGCACATCCATCTCTGCTCCTGCCAGAGTCTGAATTTCCCCTGGAGAAGGCCTCATGCTGGAGTCTGCAGGGCTTTGCGTGCCCAGAGGCTGCTGCAAGCTGCCCACAGCTCCTTCTCTCCCTGCTTTTCAAGCCGCAGTGCAAATATTTGCGCAGTGCAAGGCTTTTGCTCAGCACCTAAAGTACTTCCTTGAAGCTGGAGGTTGCTCTGATGGGAACTGAGACTGAACTGGTTGGGCAATCTCCGCTCTTAGAAGCTCCCAGGGGATGGGGAGAGCCCAGAAGTGAGGCACGAGGGGCAGATGGCTCCAAAAGTACCGTGCTGCCCATAATGGGAAGTGGGCAGCAATGAGGAAAAAAGCCATAAAGGACAACTTTCGCCTGCCTGGCGTTGTGCAAAGGGTGACAGCGAGGTGCTGCCTGCTCTGCCTGCCTGGAACAGGCAGCAGAGTGTACACAAATGACTCAAGGGGGAGGAATTACCTGTTGCTCCCTCGCGTGCGTGCGTTTCGGGCTACGTGGCCGTGCTGTTACAACACCTGCCTGTCAAAACATGACAGCTGAGCTGCTCTGCCACACAAACGGCTCATCCCGCCACTCTCGGCTCCTCAGGCTCCTCTCCCGGAGCAGGAATGGTTTCAGAACCTGGTGGTTTGGTGCACGTCTCACCTGGCTGACTCGCTGGGGTTCTCACTATGCCTCATGGGTGTGGGTGAGGTGTTACTGGCACAATTGGAAGCGTTTGTGGGTGTTTGGAGAGGGCTGCCACCACAAGGCATGGGGGGAAAGCAGAGGCTGAAAGTGCTCAAGGGAATGTGAAACCAGGCTCTGGCCCAGAGGGTGAATGAAGCTGAGTTTTCTCCTGACTCTGTCTTTTTTCTTGCAGGCCCCCGAGGAACTTGGACTCCAGGGCGTTCATTACCATCGGAGATAAAGTACGTGTCAGTGGGGTTTCTTTTATTGCTTGCTTCCAGTTTTGTTTTCACTGGGCATGGGGAGCTCTGTGGTTTGTGTCTTGCAACCTGTCAGATCAGGAGTGCAGCCTCATGGGGTACAACTTTGCAGGGATGGGACATCCCACAGCAGGACCTTTTYCCTGTGGAGCAATGGGGTGTCCCTGTGTGTTCAGAGCAGTGAYTGTTGGGGTGCTGAATGTGTCACCCCACCTGTGAGGGGGCTCATCCCTGAGCCTGTGCACTCGATGGCTGGGCTCTGCTGCCTGCAGAGGGTGAGTGGGTGCCATCAAACCCATGGGGACAGTTTTGCCCATAATGGGAGATCTCAATGCTCCCTTGACAGCCCCACCAGCCATCTTGGTCTGAATGGATGGAGAGAGGCTGTGGCTGTTCCCTGAAAGTGTCCCTGAAAGTGTCCAAGGCCAGGTTGGACAGAGCTTGGAGCAGCCTGGTCTAGTAGCAAGGGGTAGGAACTGGATGGTTTATAAGGTCCCTTCCAATCTAAACCATTCTATAATGACCCAGCCCTAAGTGGGGGTGGCCTCACCAAGCTCACAGACTGCCCCAAACAAAGTCCCTTTATCCTGCCTGCCCACAGGTCTGTGTTACTGCCTGAGGCCCTTGAGAAGCCGGGCACAAAGTTTCTCTCTGGTTCTCCAAAGCTTTTCCTAGTGACCTGATGAAAAACACTGCTAGAAATAGCCACTGTCTCTCTTTTATTTCGTTCTCTTGTTATGGGTTCTCCTGGGGCTGCAAGAGCTGTTTGCAAACGAGCTAAAAATACCCTGCATTGGATCARCCCTATAACTAGACCCTTCCAGGCTGGGAGGTGCTTGGCTGATGGGATCTGGGTCCTTTGGCCYCAGTGCAAGGATTGGGGGAGAGGAGAGGAAACTTTGCCTGGGTCCGGGGAACAATTCGGTTTTCTGGGCCTGGTGATGGGTATAGCAAGGGCTCTGGGAGAGATGCTCTCCGTGACAGCCTGGGCGTGGTGTGTGCAAGGGGACAGCCCTGCAGCTTAGGGAAAACTCTCTAGAGTCACTTCCTTGCCTGCTCCAGTGTTTGCAGGAAGGCTCTGGTCCACGTATTTTGGAGTGACATGATGGACAAAAGGACTTGGGCAGAAGTCCAGCTTTARGAGTGGGGGTGGATGGTGACCTCGGGTCTCTGGGATATCTGCACGGGCCGTGCTGTGCATCCCATTGTCCTGGGAGGGAAGCGCTGGCTCCGTGGGTGCATCCATCACCTCTTGTTGCTGGGCAGGGCAGTGCTGGTTCCTGGAGTGTGCTGGGAGCCGCCAGCTTCTGGGGAAGCCTCAGGGCAAATGCCAGGAAAGGAAAAACACAATAACCTGGAACAACCAACTGCAGAGCACGTGTCTCAAAAAGCACCACCAGATCCTTCCTGGAGGCCCCTGCACCGCTCCTCTGCCAGCTGYCCCAGGGTGGGAGGTCAGATGTGTCCCCTTAGCCCTGCTCTCCTCATTCCAGGCTCCACGTCCTGCCCAGGAAAGGGCCGGCACCTTCCTGTGCTGGGCAGAGCATAGCTCAGCGCTGAGCTCAGCACAGCCCTCCCTCGCTCCCCACCCGCCACATCTGGCAGAATAAGCRGCCACATCTGGCTGGAATTGGCTGCTGTGGCCAGTGTTGAGGGGACAGTGCTGGCCAGRTCCYKGCAGCCACAGCTCCCAGCCTGGCTCCTCCACRCCAGGGGCCATTTCCTTTCTCCCATGCAGGGCGTAGCTCGCAGGCACCGTATCCGGACTGCGCCGTGCTCCTTTCCCACCCTCGCTGCCTTTGTGGCCGCTGGGGCAGTTTGGCATCCTGGTATTATTTTCATTCCCTGAGACCGGGGGAAAACTGGAGGCTGGATAAAGCCTGGCTAAAAGGAGGCCCGTGGCTTATTAGGAGAGATGAATGCAGAGTCCAAAAATAGCCCACGTCTCACTCGGTTCGTGCCCTGCCCAGCAGAGCCAGCAATTACAGGGGAACGTGTCTGTAGGGAAACTTGTTTGTGGGTTGTGCAGGAGCTCGCTGGCTCCCTGCTGTGTCAGGCACCGGCCGTGGTTTTTTCCCAGTTTGGAGCAACACTTGCATAGCTGTTTCCTTGGTGTTAACTCGGGTTTTACCTTGCTGGCAGCTTTTTGGTGGTAGGAGAAAGTATTGAGAGCAGGTAAAACCTGCTTGAACTCGCTGATAATTAAAAATGGAGTTGCTGTGTGCATCCTATCTAAGAGAGGCTTTGCACAGGTGTTTTAGACACACAGAGGTGTGTTTGTGACTGGTGATTTTTGGGATGTGGGGAGAGCTGAGAGATCTCTGCACACAGGGGTTTGGAGCTGTGGTGGAGGCTCCTGACTGCTGCCCATGTTGGCACAGGAGCTGTTAAAATCCTGCAAACARTGAAGCAGCTGCAGAAATACCCTCGTGTGGGTAATCCCCAGCAGGCAGAGAGGCACCAGCCTTTGGTGCCCTTTCTAGTGGCAGCGTGCCCTGGCTTAAAGGATGAAAATCCTGATCTCCAGCTGCAGAGGGGGAATTAAATGAGCCCTGTTGAGTGTGGGGTGAGAKGGTTTGGGCTGTGATTCAACAGAGCCAAAAATACACCCATCTTTCCCAAGTGTGGTATCTCTGGAGTGCTGTGGGTTACCGGGGTTTGAAACGCTCTGCAGAGTGAGCTGAAAGTGTTGCTGATGCCCTTGTTGATAAATGTGCGTGCCCCTGATGTTGTTTTGTCCTCTCTCCCTGAAGAACTTCGAGGTGGAAGCTGATGACCTGGTGGCCATTTCGGAGCTGGGCCGTGGGGCCTATGGCGTGGTGGAGAAGGTCCGGCATGCACAGAGTGGCACCATCATGGCTGTGAAGGTGAGGACACCTGGGGGACACGGGGATCAGGATGGGGACAGCTCCAAAGGTGCAGAGGAACTGCTGATCTCCCCTGGCTGTGGCAAAACGGGCATGGGCTCATCGGGGTTTGGCAGCTTCTGGCATTCCTGGCATGGTTTGTGTGGTGAAGGGTCTGTGCTGATACTGCCTGGGCACGGTGGGATGGATAACATCCGTCTGGGATTGGTGGGAAATCTGGGAATTGGTGTCTGCAGTGCCAGGCTGGCATGTCAGAGTGCCTGTCCAGGCTGCTGGGCTGGCCCTGCATCAACTGCAGAGCATGCCAAGGGTTTGGCATTTGTTAAGGTTCCGTCTGGCAGAGGGGATCTGGGCGTCTCCTCCTGGGTGCTGCCAGCTGTGAAATAAGGATAAAACACTCACTCTGSCCCCAGAAGTGCAGCTCCTGAGCCAGACTGGGGGATGATGGTGTTACCCCACCTACACCAAACCCTTCTTCTCTGATACCTCTTCTTCTCCTCAGAGGATTCGAGCCACTGTGAACACTCAGGAGCAGAAGAGGTTGCTGATGGACCTGGACATCTCCATGAGGACAGTTGACTGCTTCTACACAGTGACCTTCTAYGGGGCCCTCTTCCGTGAGGTACTGGCCTGGTGGGCACCTGGGGCTGTGGGATTGCACTGGAGACCCCAAACTGTCCCCAAACTCGTCTGTGTCCTTCAGCCCAGCTCTTTGCTCCTGTGGATTTCCAGGGAATTCCCTCTCAACTTCTCTCTCTCCATCCACAGGGCGACGTGTGGATCTGCATGGAACTCATGGACACCTCCCTAGATAAATTCTACAAGAAAGTCCTGGAGAAGAAGAAAACCATCCCTGAAGACATTTTGGGGAAAATGGCYGTGTCTGTGAGTGGCTCTTGGGTTCTTCCATGGGTTTGTGCACCCCCTGAGCCTGCTGGAGGCCTCTCCTGGGGCCCGTGGTGTGTYTGCAGTGAGAGGCTGCTGCTGTGTGTGACTGATGGGTGCTTTTTCACTCTGTTTGTCCCCAGATTGTACGAGCTCTGGAGCACCTGCACAGTAAACTGTCTGTAATCCATAGAGGTAAATGCTGGATGGGGTTAGTGGAGTGTGGCTGGAGATTAACCTTGAAATCATCTAGGGTGAACTCCTTTCCAGGACTTGTGTGTCCCTCTGGGATGCCTCCAGTGGAATCTGCTGGTGCTTAGGACAAATCTCTCCTAAGTGGTGAACAAATTTGAGTGCTCAAGACTTGTTCCTGAGTTTCATCCCTTCTTGCAGGATGTTGTTCTCTTCCTCCTTTGAATGTAACAACAGAATTCCTGTATTTTGTGGGCATCTCTGCCTCTCTTGGAGTACAGAAGTRCCTTGAAGGCAGCTCTTGGAGTCAAAATCCCCAAATTCTCCTGGCTGAGGGCTGAAGGAGACCTTATAAAATCACAGATGGGAATTGTAACACTCTGCTCTCTTGGTCCTGCTCTCCATCCTGGTGTAGTCCATTGTGTAGTTGTGGACAGATCCTGATGTGCAYGAGGCAAACTGTCCTGAGAATTTGGTAGAGTTGTGCTTTCAGAGYTCTGCTGGGCACATAAATCTCCCCTAAGGTGTTGGGGATCAACTCCTCAGCATTTTATTTCAACCTTTTGACCTGCCTGGTTGGAGAGAGGACTTGTTCTGCCTGCAGGACATGGTTRCAATTTACCTGTGAATGACTTTTACTGAAATAAGACTTGGTTGGGTTTTGTCTCCCTTCCCCTGTGTTGGGGCCTGCCTGGTCCCTCCCAGGCCTGCAGGGAGCAGTCTGTCTTGTCTCAAACTCTTCATCACCCATTCAAACACCCAATTTGTCCTCTTTTATTTCCTCTTAGACGTGAAGCCTTCCAAYGTGCTGATCAACAAGGAGGGACACGTGAAAATGTGTGACTTTGGGATCAGTGGCTACCTGGTGGACTCTGTTGCCAAGACCATGGATGCTGGCTGCAAACCCTACATGGCTGTAAGTGCAGCCCTCAGCCCTGCCTGCAGGAGGCTGCTGCTCAGAAATCACTGTCCCACCTCCACCCTGAGATAAAAATGTTCAGGTCCCCCTGAGCAGAGCCCCCAAGGATGGGATTACCCTTTAATCCATCCCACAGCGACTCTCCCTCTGCCCCTTCCATTTGCAGAAAGATGCAAAACTGGCTGGTGCTGGTTGTGGTGCTCCTTGCTGGATAAAGACTCAGAAAGTGCTGAGGCTTTTGTTGGCAGGATCATTTCATTTCATCCTTGAGTCAGTGTGAATTTCCTTTGCCATCTGTGGCCTCCGTGTGGGAAGCGTGTTCTCCTGAGGCAGGGATGGTGCAAGTCTCGCTCTCCTGCAAAGAGCCGGAGTTGGTGTGAGCTGTGTGGAGCCAGATGTGGCTTTCATCAGTGCTAGATTAACCTCAGACCTTGCCTCCCTGGGGACATGAGCCAGGGAAATCCACCCAGCCTGGCTTTTGGAGCCACAGATCTGCTCTGTGGGGTTCGCACTGGGAAAACAGGAGTTGTGACATCTCCCATTTTGCTGTTACAGCCGGAAAGAATAAACCCTGAGCTGAACCAGAAGGGCTACAACGTGAAGTCAGATGTCTGGAGCCTTGGGATCACAATGGTAATGCCAAGGGCTGGGAYCYATGGGGTTGGGATGGGGTGGGTGGGTGCCCATTTAATTTGAGCATGGTAGCGCAGGGAATTAAGGATCCCAGCAGACAGTATCAGGATGACACTGAGTATCTGAGCTGAACATCCAAAAGCCTGGCTTTAATTGCTCTGCAGTTCCCTGGGTGCTGGCTGTGGGATGGTCAGTGGAGCAGGGTTTGCTGCAGTTGGGGTTCAATTTTCCTGCTTCACCCCTCCATGGCACCAGAGCCTTTTAGGGGATCCCAGCCCTGCTGCAGTGAGAGCTGCTGTGTGTGGTTTGCAGTAAATCCTGCCTGCRGGGTAGCTCAGAGCAGCCAACAGGAAGGGGAAATACTTTCAGTTCCAAAATCGCAGCTGCTCGGGATGGTTTATCTGCCTCCTGCAAGAAACAGATCTTGCAGAAAGCAGCTGAGATCCTCTGGCGCCAGAGGACAAAGGAAATCCCAGCTGTTGGCTCCAAGGGATGCTGCCTGTTAGAAACACGGCTCCTGCTTTCCAGGAGACTGTCTCTCYGAGGGTAGATTATTTTCAGGAATTTTTTCTGTGTCCTCTCAGCTGTGGCTTTTGTTTTGGGCGCTGCATCCCTGTGTTTGTGTGTTCTGTGTTTTGGCGAATATTCCCCTGTTCCCCAGCGTGGTCTCATCCCAGAGTGCCAAAGCCCCTCTCCTTCGTGTCCCCGTGCCAGGGCAGAGCTGGGCTGGCTGGAAATGTAATCAGCTTGGAGCTGCAGGAAGCTGTGGGATGGGAGACTCTGAATGATGGAATATCCAAACCTTTCCAGAGCTGGAAGGGACAGAGGGCCTTGCTGAAACCTGGCCAGCCTGCAGCTGAATGGAGCCCCAGAATGTTTGGTTCCCTCTGTGTCTTCCTCCTGGGCTGGCTTCCTGGGGTTTTTTTTTGTTTTGTTTTCTTTATGAAGGGGTTGGATTGATTGCAGAGCAGACAGTTTTGGGGGTGTGGAGTTGCAGTGTTATTCCACCTGGGCTGGTGGCTTCATTCAGTTTTCCAGCAGCAGGAACTGAGTTCCCCTGACCTGAGCCAGAGGCAGGGAGGGACACTGGGCTCTGCCCCCACTCTGTCCTTTCAGGTTTGTTATTCCTCCCATCCCATCACACCCTACGAGGGCAGGTCTGGAGATTCTGTTGCCTGTTTTGAGACAGGAACTGATCCTTGGCATGAGGAGACTGCCCAAGAGCTGGGACAGACTTTTTGCTGCTTAAATGGGGGATGGAGCAGAGGTGACTTGTAACAAGAACTCAGTAATTGAGGTGATTTTGGCAAAATCATGTTCTAGCACTTAGTTTTTCTTGGGTTTATGGATTTTTTTTTTTGTGTGTTTAGCTCATACAATGCCAGCCCAAGGCCCAGAGGCTGCCTTAGGGCTAGCAGAGCACTTTGGGAGCCAGTGCAGAAACCGTGTGCTGTCATTATTATCTTTTAAAATAATCCCATTTTACATATCTGTGGTGACTTCCTGTAAATGCATTAATATGCTGAACCAGCCTCAAAAGGAAGTATTTTTGGCCTCTAGGTCTTTGTATTTAAAAAAAAAAAAAAAGTGGTATGACCCAAATTGAAGATGGTTTGTAAGGAAAGAGGGTTTTTGTTTGAATCTGAGCTGGCTGAGCATCGTGGGGTTGTGTTTGGTGTGTGTCTCACGTTGCTTTGCTTCCATCCCCAGATTGAGCTGGCCATTCTCCGCTTCCCCTACGAGTCCTGGGGGACGCCCTTCCAGCAGCTCAAGCAGGTGGTGGAGGAGCCCTCGCCCCAGCTGCCGCCCGACCGCTTCTCCAAGGAGTTCGTGGACTTCACAGCGCAGTGGTGAGGCTCCAGCAGGGGCTGCTGGCTCTGCCAGGCTGGCTGAGGAGGAGCTCTGATCCATAGGGGTTGGAGGGAAGCGTGGGGCTGGGTTTGTGTCCTTTGGGAGCTGTTTCTCCCCTCCTGGCCGTACCTGGCGCTCAGCAYGGCAGGAAGCGCTGCCCAAACTGGTTTTGCTCTCGGCCTGACTCATCCCAGGCTGGTTGGTTGGCAGATGTTTCTCTTCCCCTTTTCCTGTCACTGCACAGCTGAAGTGTTGGTGTTTTCTGGCAAAGTGGCAGTGAAACCAGAACGAACCCCTGGCAGCCTCTGGGTGAAAGCTGCTTTGTGGTTTTGTGGGGAGCTGCTCCCCCCGGGGTGTCCCTGCTCCCTGGGTGCTGCCAGGCAGAGGTGAGCTCACCCTGCAGGTGCTGGGAAACCATCTCCTCTCCTCCCCAGCTGTTCTGTCTGTGTGGGGCAGACTGCAGAGCTGCTTGGCTTGTGCTTTTTGTGGCAAAGCACTGAGTTGTCCTTTCCCAGTTACCTGTCTGGCTGCTGTGCTGGTCCCCTGGGCTTTGCTGTCCCCACAAACCTGCTCAGCCCAGGAGGGAGAGTGGTGGGTGCAGCCCATGAGAAGCATTTCATGCTGGTTGGGAACGGGAGATCCCCTATGACAGACCCCATACAGCAAAAGAAAAARGTCCTACAGCTTTTCTCTCCAATTTTTTTTTTCCTTTCAGCTTAAGGAAGAACCCAGCTGAGCGAATGAACTATTTAGAACTTATGGTGAGTGCAGAGCTGTTTCTGCTGGTTTTTATCCCAAAGCATTTAGAAAGTCAAGTCAGTGGTCCTGTAGGGAAGTGAGACAACATGTGGGTGATTTTTCAGGCATGGAGTGGATGGGTGTAGTGTGTCTGATGTGGAAGGGTGTGTTGATTCCATGGGTGTTAAAGTCAGGTGTTTCCTCCTTCTGTCCTGTCTGTTCTTGGAGAGTTTAGACCTCGAAGGATGGTAGTACAGCTGCCAAGGTGGGGTGTCCCACTGGGGCTGAACTGAGAAATGCCAAAGTTTATCCCTTAGGTGAAGAATGGTGTCCAGGGGAGGCTGGGGAGGAGGTTGGTGCCCACCCCCAGCTTTGTGACATCCCCCGGGTTCTGTGCTTGCCCTTGTCCCTCCTCAGGTGTCAGCTCACCTTGTCTTTGCTCTGGTTGGCAGGAACACCCTTTCTTTACCTTGCACGACACCAAAGAGACTGACATGGCCTCCTTYGTGACAGAGATCCTCGGGGAGGACTCCTAACTCGCAGCTCCCAGCTTCCTGCAGCCCCTGCACCCCGGCTTCCCCGCAGGACAGCGAGCAGGGACTCGACTTCACGGTGGTTTGCACAAATCCCACCTCCCCGGCCTGGGGGCATCTCTGGCCCCATCTGGCCTCGAAATCTCTTTTCTCTTTGCCCTGAGAAGGAAATCCTCCAGGAGGAGCCTTTTGAAGCCAACACCTTCCCAACTAAGCCACGGACACGGAAGGCTCAGAGCTCCYTGGAGAGGACCGTGCCCCTCGTGGTGCCTGAGCAGGCAGAGGGAGCTCCCTCCCTGGTACCTGGTGCACAGCACAGGGGTTGTGTTTCTTTCTTGCCCGGGGAAGACAGAGAGGATCAGTGCTGCTGTGCTTCTGCCACTCCTCTCCTGCCTGCCCACAGCCCCTTCCCTGGGCTCTGGGCTTGCTCACCTTCCCTTTGTGCCTGGCTCTCTGTCCCCAGGAGCCCACGCAGCTTTGGGAGCTTGTGGGGCTCCCTGGGCTGCTGTTCACACCAGAGGCTGTTTTAGTGCCTGGCTCAACCCCTTAGGACCCTTTGAGGCAGCACCAGGTTGGGCATCCCTCTCCCTCAATCAATGCTGCTCCCTTTGAGGGGGATAAAAAGACATTTTTCCACGAGCCCACTGTGACACAAACTGCAGCCCATGCTCTCCCCGTGCCTGCCCGTGGCACTTCATCCAGCATCCATCCCTTCCCTGTGGGCACCAGGYGATGGACAGACAGCAGGTCCCCCACACTGCCTCTCCTCCCTGCAGCCCTGGGCTGGGAGGGCACGGCCCTGGCTGTCTCCACCTTCCCTGGCTCCCAGAGAAGACACTGCTCCATCTCCTTTCCAACCTGGAGCTGATGTAAGACCTCTCACTGTGACACCCGCTCATCCTGGAGCCTGAACTCGCACCCCTCGTGTCCCAAACTGTCCCCAACCCCCTGCGGGTGCCAGCGAGAGCCAAACCCCKGTGACAGGCCCGGGGCTGTTGTACATTTGATGTCTATATATAATGGACTTTGTAACGTGTTTGCTAGGTTTAATCTAACTCGYTATAAATTAAAGCCCTTCTGCGTGGGAGGAGGGAGGAGCAGTTCCGTCTCTGCTGACAAATCCACTGTGAAAACCTGATGTGTTTCCCCACGCTCCCAGCCCGAGGAGCCAAGGGAGCAGGAGGGGTTTCTGGCTTCTACTGTACATGATCACGGATAAATGTGCCGGCTGTGGATTTAGGTGTTTTGTTTTTTGTTTTTTTTGTTTTTAATAATTGAGTTTTTCCGAAGGATTTTTTTTTCCTTTTTCTAATATATATTTGTGTGTGTGTATGTGTGCTCTATATATATTATATATTTTTAAATCAAGAATGTGTGGATGTCTATGTGGCCAGCAGATTTGGTGGAATAGCATTTTTCTGACTAAATTTAGGCAGGTGGGGAAGGGGTGACTAGAAAACTCTAGCCTAAGATTACCTTTTTTTTTTTTTTCTTTTTTAAAGAAATGCATCTATTTTTTAACTGAATCTTTTAAAAAACATTATTCCTGAAATTCATGCCCTGGAGGTCTGGATTTCAGGGTGGATTTCCAGTGTTCAGGGTCCCCCTCAATGAAGAATGATGTCCCCTTAAATTCACTGCTCCCACCTCCTGCAGCCCAGCGTTTGCTGGGGTCCCCCTGCCTGGGAACTGGGGTGCTCCATGCAATCTGTCCCCCCATGAGCTGCTCTTGGCAAAGCTGCTCTAGGACAAATGGTTTTCAGTCCTTGGGGCRTCACACAGCCATGCTGCTCCCTCTGTCATCCCTCTGATCCCCTTCCCGAGTTGACAAACCCTGAAGGCCCCAGCCCAGRTGGAGCTGCACAAACCCTGGTGAGCTCTGGTTTGACCCTGACCCCCCAGCCCATCTCTGATGGACAATAAGGATGTGATTGATGTTCTCCACGTCTCCCTCATCCTGCTCTGCAAACCACCCAACACTCACCTGTACCTGCTTGGTGTGACAGCTTTGCTGCTGAGATGTACAATTGTATTTTTTTTTCATAGTTGGTTGCTTTGGATTATTTTTGTTTGAGTCGAGCTTTTGGTTTTTTTGCCCTTCTCTCTGTTTCAACCCCTTTCCCCTTCCTTTATCTCACCCTTTTTTGGTGCTTTGGGGAATGGTGTTAATTTTTATGTCTTTTTTTTTTTTTTTTTTTTTCTTTTTTGCATGCTTTTTTTTTTCTGCATTTCTCCTCTTGGAGAAATTCCCGATTCCTGTATTTTGGGAAAACAGAGCATCTGCCCTTTCAAAGAGTGGGGAGATTGCTCTGGGCTGGGCTTGGGCCCCTGTGGATGAATTGAGGCTTTGCTGAGGATGCAAACACACCACAGCTCCCTGTGCCATCTGCTCTGCTTCATTCAACACAGGTCCTAAATCCCAMATCCCTTTTCACCTCCCTGCTTCCCTGTCCTGCCTTGTTCCCTCTGCAGTGGCAGTTCCTTGGGGGAAACCAGCTTAGCTTTAAGGTGGGCGAGGATCTTGACTCGCACAGGAAGCCCCTCTCCCCTTGTACTTTTGGGAATGGTCTGTACCCCTCAACCTCCGTCCTTGTTTCCAATAAAATTCACCCTCAAAGTCACTGCTTGTCTCTTGTCACTGGGGGCAGTTCAGTCTCCTGAGCAGCCTGGGGCCGTTTGGGGTGGCTGCATTCTCCTTATATCGTGGGGTGATGCTGCTCCTGATTTGGGGATTGTTCAAATTGTGACCCTTGGAATGGGATCCGTGGGATTGGGGAGGGGGGCAGCAGCCTGGGGAGGGCTCCTCCTCCCTCTCTGCTTCCATCTTTTGTGGAGTGATGCTGGTCCCAGGCTGGGGTTGTACAAAGCCGCATCCCCGCAGCGCGACCCCCGGAGCTTTTCCCCAGGGGATGGGCAGGGTTCCGCTGCTCTTGCGGCCGGGCAGGAAGGTGAGAGTGTGGGTTTTGGGGGCAGGGGAGGCTCGCAATGAGCTGGGGATCCCCTCGAGTCGGGGGTCCCGGGGCAGCAGGCGCTGCCCGCGGCCGCGAGGGGGAGGCAGCGCCCGGCGCCGGGACCCGGCGGAGAGAGCGGGACAAGGCGGGATGAGCCTGGATCCGCGGGATGAACCGGGACAAGGCGGGATGAGTCTGGATCCGCGGGATGAACCGGGACAAGGCGGGATGAGTCTGGGTCCGCGGGATGAACATCCACCGGGATGGACCGGGACAAGGCGGCATGAGCCTGGATCCTCGGGGTGAACATCCACCGGGATGGACCGGGACAAGGCGGCATGAGCCTGGATCCGCGGGGTGAACATCCACCGGGATGGACCGGGACAAGGCGGCATGAGCCTGGATCCGCGGGATGAACCGGGACAAGGCGGGATGAGTCTGGATCCGCGGGATGAACCGGGACAAGGCGGGATGAGTCTGGGTCCGCGGGATGAACATCCACCGGGATGAACCTGGATCCGCGGGATGAACATCCACCGGGATGGACCGGGACAAGGCGGGATGAGCCTGGATCTGCGGGATGAACCTGGATCCGCGGGATGAGTACCCACCGGGACCCGCTGGGGAAAGGCGGGATGAGCCTGGATCCGCGGCATGAGCCAGCTCCGGCGGGATGAACATCCACCGGGACCCGCGGGATGAGCCACACCCACGGGATGAGCCTTCACCGGCAGTGGGACCCGGCGGAGCCCCCTCTTTCCATCCCAACCCGCCGTGACACCCCCTCTCAGCTCCCTGGAGGCTGCGCCGCCGGGATTAGAGCAGGGGATCCCCACGGGGGACGGACCCGAAGATTTAGCTGGGCACTGGGAGCAAGGAAACAGCTCCCTTTCCAAATATTGTCCTGTTTGCYCTCTCCAGGTAGGATCAGGCCGGGGACGCCGGGTCCCTCAAGCACCGGAATCCTGGTGGCGATGCTCTGCCTGGAGATGGGGYCGAGAGGGGTCAGCGATGCTGGGGGGAGCAGAGACCCCAGGAACAYTCATCCATGTGGTGTGGGGACACTTTTGGAGTGGGCCTGACCTGCCGGGAGCTGGAGTCTGCTCTGTTCCAATTACCAGCTTAATAGCTACATCGAGACCATTAAAAATGCATCAGTGCCTCCGAGGGAAGAACTTCAGGAGAAGCGGAAAATTCATCACTTTGAGTTCCCTTATTAGGAGAAAAGGTGTTTTTTTACCCCCATTTGTCTCAAAAAGAGGTTATTTCTGCCTGGTAACTTCCCCATGGGACTGTCACGAGGTGTGAACAGGCAAGGCCCAAACCTGGGTGAGAAGGACACTGCTCCCGCTGCAGAGAAGGGAAAACTCAGCACATCCAGCACGGGGAGAGGACATGGGGACCATCAGGGCTACAGCAGCTCAGTCCTCAGACGATCAGCCAGCAGCTTTCCCCGCTGAGAACATGTTGGGAGCAGCCCCTCTGAAAGGGCAGATCCCAGTGCGCTCCCCCAGTATGGTGTGGTTGTTTGTACTGGTCATACTGGGTGTTTCCTGGGCTGGTTCATCAGGAGCYGCAGTGGCAGGACAAGAAGTAARGGGTTCAAACTGAAAGGGGGGAAATACAAATTCAACACACAAAAGAAATTCTTGTCTGTCACTGTGGTGAGCCCTGGMACCGGGTACCCAGAGAAGCTGTGGCTGCCCCATCCCTGGAARTGTCCAAGGCCAGGYTGGAYGGGGCTTRGAGCAAACTGGGATAATGGAAGGTGTCCCTGCCCATGGCAGGGGTGGGACTGGATGATCTTTAAGGTCCCTTCCAACCCAAACYGCTCYGTGCTTCTATTCTATGGTGGCTCTCTCCAGGATCTCCTGAGCTGGAGCTCACGCTGTTCCTGAGAGCCGTGTGCGGAGGAGGGCTGGCTAATGGATTAGCAGGGGGTGTGATGATGCAGCCAGTTTTCTGGGGCTGAGGGTTATTTATTTTGCTTAATTTTTCTTCCTTTCTTCCTTTCTTTCTTTTTTATTTTTTTTTATTTTTTTTTTCAGACAGTGGCTGAGCCTGTATCTAGGACAGAGGTTTTTTTTTTTGGCTCGGGTGGCCTGTGGGCACCTTGTAGATCGATAGTGTAAATTAGCGAGTTCACCCATGCCACGGGTTTGTACGAGACGTGTTCAATCCTCCCCTAATAACTGCCTCACCCAGAAACTTCCAAGGCTCTTGTAGCACCTAAGCACTAATGAGCTGAAGCTGCAGAATAGCAATGAGACCAGGAATATGGATCAGCCTTTTCTGGCCCAGCCAGAGGCTCGAAAATCGTTCCAGCTGGCATCCAGAGGGACCAGTGCAGCCCAGCTGGGAGGGAAGGGTTTAAATGATGTGCATTGAGGGGAGAAGGTCTTTGCTGCCCATGAGGAGCTGCTGGGGATGTCTTCCAGTTCTCCTTTCCAAACAGAAGGCGAAGTGGTTTGTTTTGAGGTGAGCAGAGCTCAAASCCTGGTTTAACCACTGAAATCCAGGTGTTTTGTTGCCCTGCCTTTCCCCTCTGATATCTGGTCATCCCTGGATATGAGTTTCTAAACTTTGCTCTGTTTCACCGCTGGCTTGGACAAAGCACCTCCAAGATTTTTCTGTCTGTTCCAGCAGCCTGGTTGGCAAATCCTGCCCCAAAGTGTGCGTATTTCTGCAGTGAGTTGTGCCACCGGTCCATGTACAGCAGCTTTGCTACTCCATCCCCTGGGAATTGCGCAGGACCAACAGCAACTCCTCATCAACGGGGTGCTGGAAAACTGGGGTGATCTTCTGCTGGATCTCTCCAGAGTATGGGGAAAACTCCCGGCTCGCCCAGCGAACGCTGAACCTCCAGGCTTCCCTCCCAGCTTGAAATTCCTATTGATTTTTCAGAATCTGCTAGGGGGATCGTGGGGGTGGGAGAAGGAAACCTCAGCAGCGCAAAGSCTGGAAATACCAAAGCTCGACGGCAGCGCTTCGGGGTGAGCGGGGAGGTCAGAGCCACACGGGGAGCCCCGGTCCCCCGGTGGGATCGCCGGGAGCCTTTCCARCCCCCCGAGCGGCGGCTCTGGCCCCTCGCATGCTGCGCTAACCTTTGTGCAAATACCAAGCGGAGCTGGAACASGCTGTTTATCGCCGGGCGCTGCAGGAACGTGGGCAGGGGGCTGAGAGCCGCCTGGAGAGCCAGGGAGGCTTCTGCGCTCGATTTACATCTCGGGGTGAGGAGACAGAAACCTTGCTGAGCCAAAGCTGCTGCCTTGATAGCGGCTGTGTTTTCCTCCCCGCTCAGGGCCGCCTGGCTCTCCTCGAGTGATGCACTCCTTATTTGAAGCGCAGATTTCATAAATAAACCCTAAGGTTTCACACAAAAGCTCCGGCTCGGGGCTGCCGCTGCCCCGAACGCCGCGAATGGTGTGTGGCTGCTCCGAACATCGCTCTGCCCTCAGTGAGACGATTTAATTAATTAGCGTTTCCCAGGTCACCGCGACCCTCCGCACGGGCTCTGCAGAATATCACCGCCCTCAACGAGGTC